ATAAAAAAAAAAATTATATTGATTCGATTATTTTTAAAAAAGTTATGGCAATTTTTAGTAAAAAAAATTAGCGATTTTTAAATTTGTAACTTTTTGAGGGATTTCCCCCGTTTATGGGGAATGAGAGAATTGTTTTTAAATTTTGAGGATCTTTTGGACATATTGTTCATCAAAATCGGTCTAGGGAGATCTGAGATTGAGCGTTCATTGACCCCCCCCAAAAAAAAATCGTAGTAAAATTTATACCTTCTCAGATTTGCATCGAAGCTAAAAATATGATTTCTAAAAATGCATAAATTATTTTAAAAGATCACAACGAAATGTAAATTGTATCGAAAGTTATAAGAGTTGGTATGAGTTTTAGGAACGGATTAAGTTATTCAGGAATAGTGCCTATAGTGACATAATAATTTTTATATATAAATACAAAAACTAATAAGTATAATGGACATTACTTTGAGTAAATTTCTATAAATTTAGTATTATTTATAAACAGTTTCATTAAACAACTATACTATTATATTTTGCTGAGAAATTAAATTATCCCCAAATCAATTTTGTGTCTTTGATCTCTACGTATATACATAAATAACTCAATATTTACCAAAATATTTTGTCAATCAAATTATCCATGTAATTCTAACTTAATAATTTATAATTAGATCATACAACGAAATTTCACCACAGCTCTAGTTATTTTATATCGTATAATTGATTTACTTGAATTTCTAAATTAAAAACAATTTAAGATTATTAATCATTGTAATATAAATAGGTAATAATATAAAAAAAGACCTGATTTTTTTTTTATTTACAGAGATTGATATACATTATTTCAGCTCAAAATTGGAGGACAGATGTAGGAAAATATTTATTAAAATCTCAATTGCCACGTGTTTTTTTAGTTTTTTCAAATTATATTTTTTGATCATCACTTCAATTTTTAGCAAAAAAATTTCTATAGCATGTTTAACAAAGAAAAAAAATTAAATACATCTTAAAAATAAATTTGAATACGCTCAATGGATTACCTCATTAACAAACGTCAACCTTACACCCAATACATTTTACTATATTCTCTTTTTGAATTTACCTTATTTTAATAGTTCAATTTTTAATATATTCTTTTTACACTAATTCTGATGCCATGTACTCCTACCGGAATTAGTGGCCGTAAAACTTGAAATTTACTCAAAATAATGGCCATTATACTTATTAGTTTTGTATTTATATAAATATTTTTTTAATATATGTTGTTGGTGGGGCGCTGTCAGCGTAATGGTGTGTTTGAGTTTTTAGTCAGTTATCATTTTTCGATCGTTTAACTGTTTAACACCACACTACTGTACGAATAGTAGATGATTATTATATTTTAATAAAATGAACGTTTATGAAACGTTAAAAAAAATTATCGTCGTTCGTATAAATTTTATTATTATTTTTTTACAGTCCACATCGAAGTTAAAACAAGTATAGTTGTTATTGAAACTGTTTATAAGTGGTACTACATTTATAGAAATTTACTCAAAATAATGGCCATTATACTTATAAATTTTGTATTTATATATTTTTATGTCACTATGGCTTTTTTAGTTTTAAGTGATTTATCAGAGCTGTATTATCTATTAGTCACTATAGGCACTGTTTCTGAATAACTTAATCTGGCCTTAAACTTTTATACTTTTAAGTGAACCAACTCTTATAACTTTTGATACAATTAACATTTCGTTGTGATCTTTTAAAATAATTTATGAATTTTTAGAAATCATATTTTTTAAGAAAAAAAGAAGTAAACATTTTTTTTTTTAAATTTAAATGTAGATAGTTTTTAGCACTTTTCTTACAAAAATTATAAATGGGTCAATAAGAATTATATGACCAGTATTATTTGTGTCAATCCGTAAGAGGATTCGTAAATATCTCGGGTTTAACAACCGAATGGATCTTAATTAACTCAGAGGGTGTAGCTACACGAACCACTGCTCTTAGCCGCTCATGACTTTGATTAATTGGGACTGATAGGCCTGGGCATAACTGCTAATAACATCGAATAGGTCCCTCTAACCCAGCCATATCAAGTAAAAGGGTTGCTAACTTAAAAGGTTTCCTGAAAGGTAAAATGACTAGTGAGATTCTCTATGACACTTGGCACACCGTAGAGTATACCGCCTTATCACAATATCGACATCTGCTGTGATGGACCTTTATTTCTCGACTATAAGCAAGAACTATACGAATAAAACATAAAAAACCTCAAAGCAACGAACTTGGGACAAACAGGGATCCTACGGGCAACCTGCTGGAAAAAGAGCGTGATCTAACGGCTCTTTATAGAAGAATCGTTAAAATTGAAAATCTCAATATGATTAACGGCACTTTTAGTGTACCTTTACTAGCACAGAGATGATGACAGCAGAGGCAAACCAGGAGTTCCAAGACCAACTGGAAACAGTTGATGAAAGGATCGAAGGACTAATTTAACATTGATAAATTAAATAAAGTAATCTTAATTGACTTGAAAATTTCATATTTTTAACTTGGATGCATAGCTGAAAAGCAATCGGTTTTATTCTGTGGTTTTTTTTTTGTCCATATACGTTATTACACCCGCATACTGAAAAGATTTTGCTCAACAATATATCAAAAGATAAAAAAACAAGTTTAGTTTTGAAAAGATCTCTTCAGTCAGAATAAAGAAAAATGTCCCAAAATATTACAGCTTTTAAAAAAAAGGCACTGGTAAAATCTGCATTTCCATCTGACTTGACATCGTTTATTTTACTTTAAAAAAGTGTGACTACTATTTAACATGCTCGCATTAATACACTTGAATCTACAAACACAAAATTTAATAAATTTAATGCTGATGGTTATAGAAAATTATATACTTCAAAATATTGGCACAAATTGTAACAAAAGAGCAAGAATAATATTTACGGTAATTATATATTTCATATTTAAATGTTAGATATTTTGAAAAATAGTTCAATAGTTTAAAATTAATAAAAATAAAGTCTGAGCACAGACATCTTTTATTTATACACCTTATTATATTTTAAATAATTCGTGTAAGAAAAATCGTACGATGGATGTATGATTATTATGTTATCATCGTTTATAGTATTTATTCAATAGTAATTAAAAAATTTGTAAAATTAATTTAATATTTTTAATGCTTTAAATAAAATTGTTTCTTTCTATAACAAAAGATTTAAAAGTGGATGTTTTTAGATTTTTTACGGTAAAAAAAATGAAGATCATATCATTACAATTATTAAGTTTAATGGTAAGAACTATCACACATTTATCTTAATTAACTATTTATGTATGATTCCTGATCACAATATATAAGTGACAGATTAAGCTATTCGTTTTAAGCACTAATTTGTAGGCTTAAAGACTTTGCAGCAAAAGTAATTCTTAAAATGAGTGAAAAAGACCGACTAACAGCAGTGGTATGTGTTACTACGCCTACTGACTTAAGTCAGTTTGGATATTAACTTGAGTTATTTAAGATTTTAAAAAAATTAAAAAAAGTTTTACTACTTTAATTATTAAAAACAATAGCACAGTGGAGTCGTGGCATAGTTAAGTATGCATGATATTATAAAAACATTTCAATGCAAATCTGTAGTTTTTAATTTTAAAATATTGGTGGATTATTCCAAAAGCAAAATTAACTTCTATTTTTTGTTCAACTTCAACTGCCATTTGCACATAGAAAATATGTCATCGGGATAAATTTTTTTCTTTTTTGACTTGTAATACATAACATTAGCTTTAATTTAATATGTATGTAAATGATGCAGTATATCTGGAACATTTTCAAAAGTTGAGTTAAAAAATTTCTACTTTTTATACGTATTTCCAAGTTATATGTATGACAGAAGAAAAAAGGTATATATAAAGTGTTAAGAATTAAACATTTTTGTTGATCCATACATTTTTCATTAAGTTACAGCAATTTAAAGTTGAAAATATAAAATTATAAATGTTATCACAATAATAATAGTAATAAAACATGTTTTTAATTACGGCAGCCGATTGTACGCAGAAGATAAGTCGCCAGGACAAATTTTATTTTTTAATTTATAATACAAATCATAAGCTTTAATTTATTTTATGTTTAAAACATGCAGTATTTCTGACATATTTTCAAAAGTAAATTTGAAAAAATTGACTTTTGTAAAACAGTTGCTTTTTTAAATCCCAACTTGTGGGGGGCAGGTTAAGGTTCACATTTTCAAAAAAATTATATGAAATGAAAGAGAAATATCTAAGGTTTCTAAATAAAAAAATTATTTTGATATGTTCATTTTTAAAAAGTAATGGTAGTTGAAAAAAAATTAATAAGATAAAATGTCAAAATTTACCTATTTAAAAAATTTTCTTGTGGAATTTATTTCGTTAAAAGAATTCGGTCTAGTGAGACAAAAAAAAGTGGCGACAGACTTAAAAAATATACAGCATAGTAAAACGACTAGCAGCGGCGCTAACAAAATTATAATAATAAAAAAACGGTAGCACAGTGTGGTCGTGGCATAGTTGGGACAAATCAATATGATTATGATTAAAATCACTATCATAAGAAACTATCATATGCTTCGATGCATATCTGTAGATAGTGTTAAATTTTAAGAAATTGGTAGATTATTTCAAAAACAACAATAACACTTATTCCCATAATTTTATCCCGATTAGTTATTTGATTTATAATTATAATACATGAATAAATAATAATTGTAGTAATTAAATTTAGAATGAAATTGATGTTCAATAATTTAATATTGTTAATTTTACGGAGATATTATAAAAATAATAAAGTAGTTGAATATTTCTTTACTTTTAACGAGTATAAAAATTTAAAAGGATTGGTGCAATACTTTTTAATAAAAAATTTTATTACTTATGAATAAATACACTAGACTACATCCCACTTTCATCAGAAACAAAAATGTACATTTCTTAATCAACTTTTCGCGATGTTTTCAAATGTGCAATTAGAATCACTTCAATAAAAATTTTATGAGAATTTAAAAATTGTATCGTTAAGATTAATATGCAGTTAGGAAGTTTTATAATTACTACTTATAGCAAAATTTTCAGAGTAGCTCAAAATTTTTTTGCATTTTTATCGTAATTGATAACTTAAATAGAAATAATGGTAATCATTACCAAGTAACTTTTGGTGTTTAAAATGAATCTGCAATTGAAATATTCAATAAATAATAAATATATAAATAATTTTAATGATTTACTTTAACTAAATAAACCAATCAAAACAAAGTTGTTAAAAAGATTGACTCAATTGAGCTTATTATAAAAAATAATTATAATTGTAAAAATCCATTGTTAATTCAGGAGAAACTATCATTTTTTTTAGAAATGATTTATATAGCAACATGTTACCAAAAAAATTGGAATATTATAGTCTAGTAGTAGCACACACAAATAGAGTAAAAAAATTAATAGATTACAAAATAAAATGATTTAATTTTGTAATTAAAACCTATCATATCAAACTTGATTCGTCAATAAATACTTTGAAAACATTAGAAATTAATGATTTTAATTGTCTTTATGGAGACGATGTAATAACTAACTGTTTAATTGATAAATTAGAATTTTTTTTCAATTTTTGAGGGTAATATCTTCAACTAGATACGAATTGTCATTTGACGTATCGTTGAAAAAACTAGGTCAAGTTAGAGCAGAGAAAATAAATGATAGTCACAAAAAAATACCTTCTCAGCTTTGCATCGAAGCTAAAACTTAAAATATAGTAAAATAATTTTAATATGACTAAGAAATTTCTTTTCGCGTGGGCGACTAAAGTGATGTGATATTTGATCTTGATTGAAGTTATTGAATTTAAATGAGATAAAAATCAAACGAGTTGAAAATTTATTCTAACGAAAAAAGAATTAAGAAAAAATGTAAAAAATTCATTGCCATACGCGAATTGGAACCTCGCACCTCAAGCGTGTAAAATATTAGTTTTACCAACTCGGCAACCGTACGTCGATGCTGTGAGATGAAAAAATTGGCTATTTAAGCTAATTCAAATTTCAAAGTTATTTTTCTCGACTTAAAAGAAGCAAACAAATTTAAATAAGTTTAACATTCTATGCTATATTAATTTTTCATTAATATAATATTTATGAAAATATGTACTCCCCT